AAAGAGTTTAATGACAAAATGAACATGAAAATAAAAAGTCCTTTGGCATTCAGGCCCCGGCCAGGGACATTGAGCTGGACTTCGATGAGCTCGATGAACATTCCTGATGCAGCATAGGAATGTAGACCCCCCGGGGCGGTCGGAGGAAGATGAGGCCTGAGAGCCGGGAGCAGAAGGTGGAGATGGGGTGGAGGTGGGTTGATCGCAGCTGGTGAGCAGAGGAGGCTATGGGTGAAGGTCCTTTTGAACTGAAGCCCAAACGATGATTGGCTGGAGCGAGGCTTGGTCCGCGCCGATAGGTCCAGGTTGCAGAGAGGCGGGCGCTGATTGATGAGGCAGGTGCGACTAGAGTCTTCCAGACTGAACTTCAGTCAAGACTCCATTAGTCTTTACGACAGTAGAGGCTATTCTTCCTGGGGTCCACGCCACAAACATTACAATAAAATCACACTATTACAAACGTTACAAAAAAAAAAAAGTATCACAAAATACCTTAAAACACACAAAACCTAAAACACATTTCAACAGTTTCAAAGAAAAATATTAGAAACAAAGTAAGAAGAAAACCCTATAAAGGATCAGCGCGACATATTTAATCTTCAGGGCTCGTTCTGAACAGGCTTTCAGCTGTGGTCTTGGTCCGTGTCTAGCGTTACAGGAAATCAGATACAGTAGATAAAGAGGACATTACCTATGGAAGGCCAATAGCCACCCATCAACAAACAACTCAAGATACCCTCTGACTTTTTGTTTCAGGCAACACGATGCAAACCTTCGAGAGGATGCAGTACCAAGGTGAGTGTGAAGTTACTGCCATAAGGGGGAAAAATGCAGTGCGAAAACATTCAATTCCTACCACGGCAGTGTATCGGTGACTTTCTGACTGGGTGCCAGCAAAGCAGAGTACAGCAAATAGAGCAGTGCTTGGGGCTTAAACAAGCTCATTTTCCCAGCTCTCCATTCTCCTAATCCCTAACTTATTTACTACTCCCCTTACCGGTTTACCGTTTCCCCTAATTGCGCAGGGACATTTCGTCTGTACGCACATGTTGTCAAGCAGTCGCGAGTCTCCTCCTTACCTTTAACAATAGAGAGAGAGAGAGAGAGAGAGCAATGTCTTTGGACACAACCAACTGAAAGCATGTGCCGTCTCTTCAAAGTCCAACTGGTGAATGGACGCACCAGGTGCGAGGGCAGAGTCGAGGTGCTCTACAACGGCTCGTGGGGCACGGTGTGCGACGACGACTGGGACATGGTGGACGCCAACATCGTGTGCCGGCAGATGGGATGCGGGGTGGCCGTCGCCGTGGGCAGCAGCTCTCAGTTCGGACAAGGCACGGGACTCATCGCGCTGGATAACGTGGACTGCCGGGGAAACGAGGCAGACCTGAGTCAGTGTCGCAGCCTGGGCTGGGGCGTCCACAACTGTTACCACTATGAGGATGTGGGAGTTACCTGTAGAGGTAAAACTTGTTCAAACCGCTTTTTAAACAAATAATAAATTGCATAAGAAGTTATTAAAAATGCTGCCTTGTTTTTTTTTAGAACCTGTGCTCTTGGGGGCAAGAGGGTTTGCAGAGCCCACAACACCCACGGTCAAGTCTGGATTACGTAAGTATCATCTGCTCTGATAAAATTGAGATTGATCTGCTGCTGGACATAAATGTACAAAGTGTGAATTCCTAAAATGAAAATTCATAAAAATGGTTGAAACGGCTCCAGAGAATTTTAATTCAACTTTATTCTGAAAAACGTGGCTATGCTAGCTGAATGTCGCCTGTCCTGGCCACTGTAGGCAAAAACTACAATATGCAACATCTACTCCCGTCTAAAAGCTGACGGAACAATAACTTGTGTTTCCCGTCTGATTTTCGACTTTCTTCATCAGATGGCCACTTAGAAAAGGATTGATATAGAACAGTTTCTTGCAGCCAGATATGCTGACAGATCCATTTTGTTTCAAACCTTTTTAGTGATTTTGTGCGGACAAAAGTCCATCTGTTGCTTCAGGTCAAAGCATCAGCTTCTGATGAAACAAACTGTACCTGGATTTAATTCTCACTGCACAAATCTGAGCATGTGGGTATTAAGTCATCCACAGGTTAGCATAAAGTTAAGGACGGATGGATCACAGTAGCACTTTATAAATAAAAAGCTTCATACCAAACTACAAACCTAAGTGTATTGGTTATAGACCAGTAGTACCTTTTGTGCCATTTACATCTGTAAGTCTGCAAGCATCTTCCTCCATCTGCTTTGGTCAGCTTGAATCTTTTGTCCTTTTTTTCTTTGAGAACTGCCTTGAGTTCAGCCAGCTTGGTTGGAGAGACTCTTTAAGTCTTGGCAAGTTGTTGGTTTCCTTAGTCCACATAATACTGTTTGTTCATCAGTGTTTCTAACAGCTATGTTTACACAGATTAAATTATAGGCTGCATTTAAAGATTAGGTGACTACTGAATGGAGTTGGTTGCATTGGATTTTATTTAGGAGTATCGGAGTAAAGGCAGCTGAACACGAATGCATACAACACTATCCAGATCTTTACCTGTATAAGATTTAGAAACCCGTGTAAATATTACATGGGTTTTAATTTACTGGTTTGACTAATGAGCCTGATTAATTTGAGTTTTGTGCTCTGGAATAAAAACAACAATAATAATAAAATAAAAATGCCACCTGCTATTTGGATGTTTGTTTTTAAAATGCAGAATCAGGTTTCAATAGACCATAAACGTGGTCTTGTTGACACAACAGGCATTCGCCGCTAACTCATCACATTTCTTCACAATAAAAGCTAGACATTTTAGAGAAGTATCAGTCACTGGATTTGGACACATTTAGACAACATCAAAAGGCTTTGGGGATTTGGTGCACTGTATCCCTTTGGATTTCCTCGTGGACGCTTCACAACACACCTGTCTTCAGTTTCAGATCCTTCTTATTGTTCGCCGGGTTTGCCTTTGTTGTACTGGCCGTGTTGTTTTCTTTTTTACATTCATTCCCAAGAGGATCACGGAAAAGCAGGGCTGAGTCAAATTCGGTGTACAATTGATCATATGACGTAGTTAGCTAATCCTCTGGTGGCCATCATGAAAGCAAGAGTAAGGAGGTCTTCCAGATTTATGGCACTTGCTACACATGAGAATGTCTATTGTCTCTCTGTTTTGTCTGGGAAGAAACGTAAGGTGATAAAGTTAAAGTTTGGTGCAACAGTAGATGCTGAGGTTTTTTTCTTCTTCTTCCGTTCAGCCCTCAGTGTGTTTTGTCTCAGTTTTTTTTGTACCAGTATCTTAGAGTTATCTTCTAAGCTTTCAGACACAAAATCTATCAGTTTGGCGCTTCAATCGCTCTAGCATAGAGTAAAATGTTCAGTTAGCGACATTACTCTTTATGGTTTCCTCCGTCGTTCTCTTGGTTTTAGGCGATGGCACTGTCCGCGTGGTGAATGGCATGAACTCCTGCCAGGGTCGGGTCGAGATCTACTACCAAGGAAGCTGGGGGACGGTGTGCGACGACGACTGGGGGCTGCGCAACGCCATGGTGGTGTGCCAGCAGCTAGGCTGCGGCAGTGCGGTCTCTGCCCACACCAACTCCTACTTCGGCTACGGCACCGGGCTCATTCTCCTCGACAACGTCAACTGCTACGGCAACGAACAGGAGCTGATGAGGTGCAAGAGCCTGGGCTGGGGAAAGCACAACTGTGGACACCATGAGGACGCCGGGGTCACCTGCACTGGTACGATGCTCTAAGTTATGTTGGACAGTAAAGTTATTCAGATCAGTGGTGGGTAATGCTCTCCAGTGAGACTTTTGTCAGATTATAAATTACCTTTGAAAACAGCAACCATAAGTAGGTATCAACTTTTTATTAAGCCCACATTTCTGCCTTTGAAATGTTTTTATTGGTCTGATGTAATATTCTAATCTTAAATGTTGTGCTTCCATTGAGGGCTGAGACGATTAATCAGATTTATCATGATTAACTGGTAGCTGAAATAATCGTCAGCTGATTTAGTAATCGATTACTTGTTAACTGGAGTATATAGACTTAAAAAAGGGCCATTTTCAGAAAGGACAACATGACTGTACAAAGACATATATATTAATTTTGCATTAAAAGAACTGCCTGTAAATATGTTACCCAGTTGTAGCTTCATCTGGTTAAAATTCTGTAAAAAGGAAAAAAAAAAAAAAAAA